TTTTTATTAGTTCTACCAATATTTTTTGTCTGTGAGATAAAAATATTTTGGATACATTAAAAAAAATTATAAGTAAATTTTTATTACAAACACAACTCTTTGTATGTGTGTGTATATATATATATATATATATATATGAATAGTGCATATTTTCATATTCAGTATCATCTTTTATATATATAGATATATATATATATATATATATATAGAAATACCTCTCTAAAGTTTTATCAATTCAATATTCTAATTGGTAATCACATATGTTTTTTAAAAATAAAAAAAATATTTTTACCTTACATATAATATAATTTATTAGATACAAGTTCAAAAAATAAATAAATTTATTTATCTAATAAAAATAGTATATTATGTAAAATATAATTATTAATTTTAAATATTACAATAATATTAAAAATAAAATAATTCTTATAAATAGACTTAATAGTATTATAACAACCTTTTATTTATAAGTTTTTGCTATAATATTTTAGGATAACCAGCAAATTGCCCAACTAGATATTAATATTTTTTATTTTTATCTAGATTATTATTGTTATGATTATTATATTACTTTTAAGTAAGAGTATATATTTTTATATAATCTCTTTTAATTTTGGTGATTATAAAATTATAATAAGACAATACAATTAATTCTAAATTTATTTTAAGAGAAAAAAATATTAAATAAAACAAAGCACTGCAACAAAAATAACAACCTTTAAAGTAGCATAAATTATAATTTTTAATGTAAAAAAATTAATTATTTTTTAAAATATGATAACATCTTCTAAAAAAAATGTATTTAAAAAATCGTAAATTTTCTTTTACAAAATTTTAATCCAAATTATAAATTAAAATTTTATTTATTTATTTATAGATTCAAATTTTAGTGAAGGCAAAGATATATGTGCAAGTTATTTGATTAGATTCTATAATAGTCTCTTTGCTAATTTAGTGTCAACTTATTATTAAGCTTTAAAGATTAAAGCTTTTGTTAAAGATAATGTTGAAATTTGGCAGATAATATAGATTTTAGTAGGATCAAGTTTAGAAGCTTCTATAAGCTAGGTTGCTTCTAGATAATGAATAGCAAAGATAAGTGGCATCTAAAAATTAGATAATACTTAAGTTCAATAATAAGAAAGATTTTAGAACAATTATTTGAAATATAACCTTCTTAAATAGAATCTTGTAACAATGAATTATAAACAAACACTTTTATCTAGAAAAAAACTTTGTAATGATTAATGACAAAAAAAAATGGTATTTAAATTTTATTATGCAATGATTAACCACAAGGCACTTTTGAACATGTACTTCCCTTGTTTGATTAATAGACGTTGGAAGTGAACATCAAAACATTTAAAGATAAAATCTAAATGTGATGTTTTCATGTTTTTTACAAAATATTTGAACATTTCAATATGATTGAAGCAAAGGAGATGGAACTTAAGAGATGAGGTGCATAGCATGATATTGTTGATATAATAACTTACATGACCAATAACTCCAGTAGTTATTGAAACAATACTAAATATTTGAAAAAGTATCATATGTGGAAACAAGTGCGAACACCCATGATTTGGAGGAACACGAAATCAATGAAATCGCCATTGTTCCATGCGAGTGTTTGGCAACGGCTGAATTGCAGTCGTGAGGAGCTTCGTTCAGGTGTGCATTCTAACCCTCCGCCAAGTTCGCGTCGACAAGACTAACTCCCATCGAATTTGCCATTGCAAGCTGTGGCCGACGCTTCACGAAATGATTGATAGCAGTCTTGAGAGTTTAATGCGTCGACTTGAGCACACGGAATTTGAGTCCGTTGTTGTTGATTTGCTCTCAGAGATTAGTCGCTAGTTAAATCGATGGTTTCCCCCAACTCATTTGTAGACGTCTGCGATATTTGCTGTCTTCGATGCTTCTGTAACGGTTCCTAACGTTGACGGAAATCAGCAGATTTTTTCGCCTTTTGCCAAAACAATTCTTGACTCGATTGACTATTATTCAGCCTGGGAAAGCTGGAGGCCATCATCTTGCAATGACAGTCATGCTCAATCATGTCTCCAATTCAAGCAGAAGAATATCTTCTTCGTCTCTTCGATCACCTCGTACAATATCTCATTCATTTCGAGGTGAAAGCTCCTTCGATATCTGGAGCTACAGTAGTGCATCGACCATTGAAACATGTGCAAGGATCAAACCATAACCACAGTAGCTTTTCATGTGCGAGTTGATAGAGTGAGTTCCACTGAAGTAACTTAGAATATCGGCAAGTACAGACTAAAGCAATGATCACGCCAAGAGAAATTCAAACGTGGTGAATCCTCCCTTTAGATTCAGATTATGTAGCCGTTGCCTTTTCCCCAACGTCTAAGGAAACACGGTCACAAAAACTCTTGGAACCTCTCTGAATTCGCATGGTCAGACGCGGACTCTCGTGATCTTTCTCCTACACTGGACTCCTCCAGCAGTCGCAGAAAGGGCTACCATCATGCCATTACATCGATCGCCAGAGGATCTAAACCAGTCATCTCAGCCGTCCCTAGCACGTGTGAGTTTGAACTTCTAACAGGGGAAGGCTCAGTCTCGTCCGGCACTTCTGCCCTATCCAGAGACGCAATGTTTGCCCACCACGTCCTCCCCGCAGCGCATCGCCCCTCCCTGACCAATAAAATCCCCTGGCACATCTGCCGCTCTAAGCAGGCGCTTCGAAGGGACGGGGAGCCGTTTGAATCCCTTTCGTTTAAACATTCCCTTCACAAATCTCAATATCCACAATATCCTAAAATTATCAGTACTTTCACGTCCACAATGGCAACATTCTCTTCCAACATTTCAATGCACTGTCCTTCAAATGCTTCTTTCTGTGAATACGACCTTCAGTTTCTAATGACACTGCGCATAGAACCGATACTTGATCGTTCTTCAAATTTCACGACTAAACAAGAATTCTTCATCCCGACTGGTTTCTTGTTGATAGAAATAAAGGTTATCAATAGTTTGTTCATGACAGAAGTGTGAGTGTTTTTACTGCACCAGCGGTACTGGCATGACATTATGTTGATTATTAAGCAAGAGTGTGTTGATTATTAAGCAATGCTCCCGGCCTCCACAACGTCATGGTGGACACCCTATCCAAGGATACTCCGTGGTTAAAAGGACTCAACAAACCTACTAGAAAATTTGAAAGGTAACTATATTATAATGCAGATTAGAGAGAGCATTGCGCAATATCATTGGTTTCATGGCAGTAGAGAAGCTTTAAGTTGTTCCGCAACATTTGAACAGGTAGCCATGAGTTGAAGCTGGACGAGCGAGGGTCTAGAGAGTGGAGAATGGTGGCCCTTGTGCAGAGCCGACAAGTAGCCTGGTACCGAAAACATTGACTAGCCGTGTAGAGTGAATGATGATGAGAATGCCCTTAATCAATGACTGGGCGGTACCCTACTCGATTGAACTGTACCTGCCCATACAAAAACATTTTAACGCTGCTCCTGGTCAAACCAAATTTGAATTTCGGGGGTGGTTTGCTAAGTCCCGTTCACACTGGGTTCAACTTTAGGTGACCTTGACGTTTCCCTTTTTCTTTTCACTCGTTCGCTATTTGGGATTTAAATTTAAAGTAAAAGTTTGAACTAGGGCCATGTTGAATTAAACCCTGGCTGGATGTTTCCCAGACACTGTGATTTGATTCGCTTGATACATGTTCTACGATTCTGAATTCCTTCGCAATTTTTATTCTTATCACTCATGTAATAAAACTGGTAATTCTCAAGGACTCATGCTCCGAGTTTCAAGCTTTCGTTTAATATATATGTTTACATATATGCGCAAATATGTTTATGCAAAATTCTTAATAATATTTATGTTTGGAATAGATGTCTTCAGTTTAATTTTTAATGAGAAGAAGTGTGCTTACTGGAAAAGTAGTTTTTCAGGAAGTCAACAGTGGGACTACACACGATGAATAAATTACTTATTTTGACCATCACTAACATGTCATAGTAGATAAATAAATCTAATCAGCAAGTTCAATATTTAATTCTGGGTTGCAAATGAGCTTCGCCCCAAAATGCCAAAGAATCGCCACCTTACCGTGACTTGTTGGTATTGAATGACTGGCACCCTATACTTTCAGACGCTTCATTTCCCTCCCGCAAATCTTCGGATGCAAGCCTCATGATTCCTGATAATAACCACGTTTGAAATGTAGTTGACCTGGAAGAAGAAAAAGGAACTCTGCTTAATTTGGGAATTGATCTGGATACGGCTACGAATAGTAAGGGGTATTGTTCTCGGACAACGAGCCCGAAATACCAGCGCTATAAAAGCTCCATTCTAAGCATTCGTATCCACATTCTCTTCTCCGTCTTTCGTCTTCCTATTCAGTGACGACGTATCTTTCACTGGAAAGGAGCTTTGAATATTGGCGTCTGTCCAGATTGTGGTCCAGCTTGCGCAATGCATTGATGGTGAATCACTCCAATAGCAACAATTCTGCTTTCGCGATTAAATTAGGGGGAGGAAAAAGGACTACAGAACACGAAAACCAGCTTGGAATTTTCGAATAGAATGTGCAAAAAGTTCCGAATTGTTCAAGCATGCATTGACGCACTTGTTCTTATTTAAGTATCCGTTTGCCTTTGGACTCCTAGAACGCAGCCACGTTTTCGTGAAGGCCCAATTTATCCATTCTCAGTTCATGGATGAGTTGGCTCAATCGAAAGAGTGGAAGAAACGAGGCATATTGTTTCATGAAGGCGGCTGGTTGAAGAAAAAGTCTTCAAGCCTGCTTCTCCATATTTATTTCTGTTTTGGCAGGGAAAATGAATATCCATTATAAGAAAGCCCAAGCCTCTGATTCCGGCAACATTCCTTGGGAGCCGCGTTTGAGGGACAATATTGAATCCAGGTCCCGATACCTCAATCTCAGTAGATAAGATCTGGTTTAGGACATAGGACGTGGGAGTGCGAGCCTTGGGGTTTTCTGCGGGGGCTGGACTTGCAGAGCTAGCACCGGGTGACAGTATTGCAGAGGCAGGTCGTTCTTCTTCTGCTGCTCTCTCCATCTTCTGTCCATGTCCGCTTGTAACCGTTGGCTCGCCCTGTTTCTCAACGGTAGACTGTCCCTCCGATTCTCTCCCTAGGGACGAGCTATCAAAACTGTCGCACTGCGAGGATTCTGATTGTGTTACCGTCGCTATCTACTCAGAACGACTAAAGTTCTTGTGAGTGGAGCCTCAATTTCGTCTGGTTCGAGTCGGTGCCTAATCTTCAAATTTGGTTGTGTAGTTGTTTTCGATTGCTGCTCCGTTATGATGACGGAGGCGTGGTGTACCTACCTGTGTGAGAGCCGTGTTTCGACATTTATCATGGAACTCGTAATGTAGTCGGCGCATGTTTGAGTTTGTGTGATGTCCAGTCGGAGCAGCTGTGGAAAGTTTGATCGAATCCTCCGCGACTAATCCGGTAAGTGCTCGGTGAGCTTCCACTTCGAGATTTCCTACACCGACGTCCATGTCGCGGGCAGTGAGCACGTTATTTAGGTGCTGGAGTGTTCTGTCCGTGATGGAATGCTAGCATTCTGGCGAATCGTGCTGAGTTCAATGTAGCGCGTGTCTGTCAATCCAGACTAGCGGTGTGGTGTGGTTGTTGGAGGCCGAAGGATGAACCTGACGATGTCACGCGCATGGGATGCGTCTTGCTTGGGAACGGTCCCGTTTTAGCTTTTGCACTTCAACGCTGTAATGAACGAAAGGTTGGCGGTTAAGTCGCTCCACAGATTGGAAGCTTCACACTGGAGATTGCATTTTTGTCTTCTTTAGACCCTTTTCATCTCTAGAAATGGATTTTATCAAGCCGCAGGAGGTGAAGTTAAGCTTTCGAAGAGTGTACTGTATAATGTATCCTGAGACGTTGTGATAGCTGTCTGTCAATATTTGTTAGTTTTTCGACGAAGAGTCCGAAATGTTGAAGGCACGACAATCTGTGACCGTTCTCTGGTAGTGCCAGCGTTGCTTACGCCATTTTGTATACTTGGTGTAAATTTGCAGGCGTTCACATGATAGAGTGTCTTATATATCGTGATGAGTACCTTGGTTTAGCCATCTGAAGTGGGAAGAGGTCCATGGACACCGGTGGGTCGCCCAGCCTGCCAATTTCGGCCGCGAAGGTGGAACGAACATGTGGCTAAGGTGGTGATGCTATCAGTGTAGCTGAAACAGGGGGGAGGCGGAGCACTGAAGTTAGGAAGTCCAAATGGTGAAAGATACGCCAAGTGTTCGCTCCTCCCTCAACTTCAAGAACAAGTCTCCATCGAAGGTTAAGGAGGCGACAATGTATAGCATTTCCCCTGCGCGCCCTCCTTTCTCGGCCGTCTCTGTACTGGCACGAGATAATTTGAGTGCTGCGAACTTACCGTCAGTTCAGCCTGCTTCTAACACTTCAGCGAAGTTGCATAGGCGCAGTCCGCAAGCGAAGACTAGGGGAGGCTCCTCTCAATACATTTCTTATCCGCATTTGGAAAATGTTGATTCTAACATCGGATGCTCTTCGTGCGCCACTAGTTGCTCTGATAAGTTGAGCCCTTCTCATGGCACTCCATTGAAGAATAGTTCGAAGAGAAGGTCAAACAGCACACGTCTGCATTCGAATTTAAGTGATTTTGAAAGCGTGCAGGGAGAGTGCGTTTCATACACTTCCTCAGATGTCAGATCAGTGACATCTAGTAGCGATGAAGAAGCCACAACTACTGACGATTCTGATCCTTCCCTGACATCCGGAAGCGAATCTGAGAATGCTTGCCGTCTGAGACAAGCATCAGTAAGAAGACAAGAAGGGCTCAGAAGAATGTCGCTTGGTCCCAAAATTGAGGCTGCTGTTACCAAGCTAGAGAAAACACCCTCTAAACCAATTAGACCAGTAAGGATCAATGGAGCCAATCTTGCGAGCCCAGCCAGCCTACGAGCTGGCGTGCAGAGAGCACTCCCATTGCAGCCGAACATGAAGGATTCTAGCCAAGGTCAATATCATTTTGACCTTCAAGTGGATCCTTCCTTTTGGGACGATCACAATGTCCAGGTTGTGATTAGGTGTCGACCTCCAAGTAGCAAGGAGTCTGTGAAGCAATGCTTCACTAGATGCGTGAAGCAAGATGGACCTCAAGCCATCACATGGCTGGGCCAGCCCGAGACTCGCTTCACCTTCGATCACGTCGCTGGTGAAAACATTTCACAGGTTAGGACTTAGCGAAGCTCGAGAATATCATGTCTCTTAGCATCGGCAGAAACAGCGTGCAATCAACATTTGGTTTCATGCTGATGAGGTATCCATTGACTTGTGCAGGAAAAAATATTCCAAGCGGTTGGGTTGCCCATCGTCGAGAATTGTATGGCTGGCTACAACAGCTGCATGTTTGCTTACGGCCAGGTGAATGATTCATTGCTTCCAGGTTGAACAGTTGAAATTATCCCTAGGCATATGCGTGGAACTATGTTTGCTTTGCACAAATGAGCTTGGCGGTTTCGGAAGGTTATAAGTCCGTTCGTCGAGATGATGTTTCAGGTCCCTACTCTTTTTAGAGCTTGCACATGCTCAACCTTCTTCACAGACTAAGTGAAAAATAATGTGGTACGGAAACTTATTAATTGAAGGGGGTTGAATATATTTGCCTGCCTTAGACTGGGAGCGGCAAGACCCATACAATGCTTGGAGACATTTGCGACCTCGACGACCGGCCTAATGAAGACCGGGGGATAACACCTCGCATCTTTGAATATTTGTTTTCAAGGATTCAGAAGGTGATAAGACTTGCGCATTCATCTCTGTGGGTTTTGAGTCCTCTCCATTCTTGCACTAACCACCATGTTAAGGTTGTAGAACCAGTCAAAGCTCAACAACGTGGGGTATTACTGATGGTGTCTCCACTGGGTTATACTTGGGCACCCTGCAGTATGTTAGCATCACTGAATAGATCTCTACGCCTTTCGAAAGGTCCAAGTAGGGGGCATGCCTGCATTACTGGTGAAATTGATATTGTAGTAGCTGATCTAATTTGGGAAAACGCAGGAAGGACTAGCCCGGCAATTGGAGCAGCTAAGATATGTTTGCAAGTGTTCTTTTCTGGAAATCTACAATGAGCAGATTACAGATCTCTTGGAGCCTTCCTCATCAAATCTTCAAGTATGTTCTTTCCCTTCCGTGAGTTTAACATGTTAGGTACCGTTGAATTTTGCACATGGTCAAGCTTAGCTGTATTGCTGTTTCGTGTTGTACCTAAATATGTTCTTTGCGGACGTGCTAAGCAGAATTTGCACTTAAATTTTGGCACATATTCCCACTAAAATTTCTAAATTGTGTAAGATCAGCTCGAATCTGTTTCTTTTTCCATAAGATCGTGTATCATTGTTGATCATTTGCACCTCAATTTTTCTGTGCGATTGATAGATACGAGAAGACTCAAAGAAAGGTGTATACGTGGAGAATCTCACAGAAACGGCCGTTAGTAGCGTTCAAGATGTAGTCTCGCTGCTCTTGAAGGGAGCTGCCAACAGGAAAGTTGCCTCTACCAACATGAACCGAGAAAGTAGTCGGTCGCACAGTGTGTTCACTTGCACTATCGAAAGCAGAGTAAGTGATTTGCACTAGCACATCAAATTCACTCAAATCGTTTGAACTCCATCAATGGAGCTCATGTGCATCAATTTCAGTTTTATTTCCGTGTGCAGGACCTCCTGAATTTTTGCATCGACTAACATGGCTACTTGCACTGGATCATTTATTCGCAGTGGGAAATCAATTCACTAACAAACATGCGCTTCGGACGCTTAAATTTGGTGGACCTTGCAGGATCGGAACGGTAATAAATCAACCTGTGTACCGCAGCCTTACTATTCCCCTTGGAAGCATGTTTAGCTTCTAATTAGAGCTCTTAAACCTATGAATGACGTAGAGAGCTCGTTGGCTGGAATTGCAGACAGAAATCTTCAGGGGCTGAGGGGGATCGTCTCAAGGAAGCTGCCAGCATCAACAAGTCACTTTCCACTCTAGGGTAGGCTCACATGGTCGAAAGTGCGATTCAGTTATCTCTTCAGTTGCCTCTTAGGTCGAACAATAATGCATTTATGTAAAATCTCAGTATCACGAAACGTGTGTTCTGCTGATGAGCATAGTGTTATGTTACAGGTTGGTGATAATGATTTTGGTGGACGTTGCAAATGGAAAGCCGCGCCATGTGCCTTATCGTGACTCGAAGCTCACGTTCCTTTTGCAGGTAGGACTTGTCCCAGAGTCATTGCTTTGTTTCTGTGTGAAGTTGAACATTGCCCTCAATCAAGTCGCACCATCGCTTGTACTGTCGTGCGATCTATTAACAGCCTAATCCGTACAGCTTGAGTACCCGATTTGGTTGCAGGACTCTCTCGGAGGGAATTCCAAAACTGCTATTATTGCAACAATCAGTCCTTCAATTTGGTATGTTACATCAATCAGTCCCTTGAATTTCAGCTTGCCTCCTATTTTTTGAGGTATTTATCAGATCTGCGCTTGAAATGTACAGTGGGGGTGAATGGCATCTCACTGATTACCACTTTTCTGTGGCAGCTGCTCAATGGAGACCTTAAGTACACTCAAATTTGCGCAACGCGCCAAATTTATCCAGAACAATGTATGTCGATAGCCCTTGTAATTCGCTTCACTGGAGAAAAAGTTATTTCAGTTAGTTAAGGTCTTGAGAAAGAAAGAATTAATAACTAGCTAATTTTGTGCAGGCTGTTGTCAATGAAGATGCATCCGATGAAGTGCTGGCGTTAAGGCGTGAGATTGTGCATCTTAAGGCAAGCCCGAGACGTCACTTTGATTTTTGTTATTATTTGAGATTGAAACAATATCATTATACGATCTCTCAAACACAGCATGAATGTTGGGATGACATTGTGGAACAGGAGGAAGTGGCAAGATTGCGCTGCCAGGCAATCTCAAGCATTAGGAAGGAATGCCGACGAGAAAGCAATGAGTTTTTTCGGATGTCAGTGACTGGCAGGGATCTGTTTGATGCAGCAGAGAAGGAGTGTTCCGATGAGGGGGCCGACCTGAAGTCGACTGAATTACTTGAGAAGATCAAGGCTCTCGAAGCAGTCTTGGCTGGAGCGTTAAGACGGGAGCATATGGCGGAGACTGTTACGAAAAACATGTCCGCGGAGATTGTTAAGGCCAACAAAGTGATTGAGGAGCAATTTATCGAATTGCAGAACTATAAGAATCTCTTGCGAATGCATGCTGAAGAACAAGCTCGCCTTCAATCAGCTGAAGGAAAAGAGCCTTTATCCGACCCAGGGATGCATGCAACATTTGCAGAAAAGCTGAAATTTGCGGAAAGGCTTGAGCAGTATCCTACTGTCACTAAATTAGAATTGGAGAACGTCCGGCTTAGAGAGCAATTGCACAGGTAGTTGTCCTTAAGGCGTATCTCGCTTCTTGCCCGAACTTGCGCAAGCCAAATTCTTGAAACCTTATACCTCGTGGCCTGGGCTTTGTAACATTTTGAAGCGTGTGTTATGCAGTTACCAAGTATTTTTCGATTCTGGAGAGAAGGAAACAATGTCTACAGAAATTCAAGGTTTACGAGACCAGGTACTAATGGTCTTCAGCTCGCTTACTTCGTCTGTATTAGGGCTTGTTTCATGACTTGAAATCTGAAGTACCTTGCGTGGCTTTGTCCTGCTGACTTGTGCTTAGATTCTGGAACTTCTCGATCGTAAATTCTCTGCGTCGCAAGGCTCGCCATCTAAGACGATTGCAAAGGTGTGTACTTGGATTCGAAACCATACCAGCTCTGTTAATGAATCTGTAACTTGTTTGATATTTTTTTTTGACACTTACGTTTATGTGATGCAGAATGAGAGTGACCGCAAGGAGCTCGAAACATGCCGCAATGACTTGACCAAATGCTTAGAGGCCAGTGCTCAACTGCAAAAGTAAGTAACAGTATTTTCTTCAAGAGTTCACCTCGTTTCACTTTTCTATTTTTAAGATCCCCCTAAGGGAACGTTAACCTTTCGGGACTTTGATTATTTTGTTTGATGTGATGTAGGCAAGTAGATGAGTTACAGGGACTGGTCAATCAGTTAACGGAGCAATGCGCCGGGATGGAAAAATTTAAGGAAGAAAATAAATTCTCACAGACTAGGTGGGAGCATGCCTCCTCTCAGCTCTACCACGATCTTCTGGAAGGGGAGCGGGTACTTACCGAGGTGGTACTAGAGATGGACGAAATCCTTGGTGAGGATTGGTTGCTGAAAAACATGCAAGAAAAATCTGTGCGCTGGTCAATTGAGTCGAGTAAGTCACTAAAGGACGTGGATGTTGAGCACGACTTCTTTAAAAGGGGAGATTCGTGTTCTACGGATGATATATTCGGAGAGAAAAGAAACTCTCGGAGGAAGAAGAGCTCTGGCTTCACTCCAAGAGTGTCAATCATGGCTGATGAGAGGCTGAAGCTGGAGGGCATTGTTTCCCGCCTTGAGAAAGAGATTGAGGAGCACAAGAAACGGCTTCTGGAAGCAGACCAAGCGCAGGGGGACTTGAGGAGGCTGCAGGGAGAAAATCTCCGGCTCAAGGAGGAAGTGGAAGCATTGACTAAGAATTTTGTAATTGCATCCGAACTCTTTCAAGACAATGTGGCTGACCTCAAGGGTGAGATACAAGAGCTTCGAATTATGTCGCAAAAGGAGTTGGATGAATTTCGGAGAGATAAGTGTGAATTCATGGAAGATATCGAAGCTTTGACTTTGAATTCATTGGGGTTCTTCGAAGATAATGCTGACTTGAAGGGTGAGGCCCAAGAGCTTCGACTTCAGTTGCAAGAACAGAATGAGGCATTAGAGCTCTCGCGAGCACTGACTGTTGCTCTCGAGGAAAATCTTCATAAAGCAGAACAGGATCAGAAAAAGCTGGAGATAGAGGAGAGAGATAAGCTTGAGTTGAAGGAGCTCGAGGATTTTGCTAAGAATTGCGTGAAGGCATCAGAACTCCTTACAGGTAGTGTGACAGACCTCAAGGGTGAGATTCAAGAGCTTCAGCTTAAGTTGCGAGAGGAGTTTGAAGAAGTTCAGAGAGAAAAGAGTGAACTGAAGGAAGAAATGGAAGCTATGGTTAAGAATTCATTGGAGTTTTTCAACGATAATGCCGACTTGAAGGGTGAGGTTCATGAGCTTAAACTCAACTTGCGGGAACAGAGTGAGGCATTAGAGCTGTCGCAAGCACTGACAGCTGAGCTTGAGAAAAATTTGACTGATTTAGAGCAGGTAAAATCGCACCAAGCGGAGATCCTGGAATTGAAAGTTCAGGAAGCATCTCGTATTCAGGAGGAATGTCTCAAATTCCAGAAGGAAACCGTGCGTCTGTCTCTGGAATCTGAAGACTTCAAGAAATTTTTTGAGCAAACAGAACAAGCTCTTGTGAGCATGACACAGATCAACCTCGAGCTCACAGAGGAAAACGCTCAATTTAAGTTTCAAGCTGGCAAGGCTGGGGTTCTACAAACTACTCTTGTGGCGAAGAATGTAGAGCTCGAGGCTGTGCTCAAAACGTGTCAGCAGGAGATTTCAGAATTGGAGACGGAGATAGAACGACTGGAGCTTTCACTTCATGAGGTGGAATGCCGCTATCAGGAGCTTGAAACTACCTCGAAGGCTGACGAAGAGGCTATCGCAGCGGTTGAGTTTGCAAAGCAGAAACTTGACAGTGAAGTGAAAATGGTGAGTTCGAAGTTGACATCAACCGATGCGGTGCAAGAAGAGCTTCGCATGACTGTGAGCTTGCTTCATGTAGAGCTTGAGAAAAAGATTCAGAGAATAGGAGAATTGGAACTTCAATTAGAGTCCAAGGCAGAACTTCTAGCTGCTTATGTTAAAGAGTTAAAGTTAAGCGCCGCTGACCTAGAATCTCACCAAATGCGGATATTCGAGCTTGAGGAATCTCTTGAAAAGAAATCCAAAGCCATGGAGTTGTTGGAGGAGGCACTGACGAGTGCTACAGCAACTTGTGACGCTGTGAGGAGTGAGAGGGATGAAGCTCGAGTTTTAGCGGATCAGCTGCAACTTGAAGTCGACTCAAGTGGCGTAGAACTTCAGGAGCTTCGAGACAGAGTTGTTCTTAATTCCTTCGAGCTGGAAATCTTTATGGATGTGATGGAATCGGTCAGTAGTAACTTTCAGATCAGGTCTCAGACTCTGTCACAGGAGCTAGAGCATGAGCGTGTTGCTTTGGGAGAATTGCAGCATCATCTCCTTTCTTTGACCACTACTCTGGAGACGAACCATGCCGCATTGTGTGAGTCCCGAATCAAAGAACAAAATTTACTGGCGGACCTCCTAAGGGTAAGGGAACAACTGTCCAGTACTGAATCGGACGTACGCGAAGTATGCGAAGTCAAAACTATCCTTGAAGGAGAGGTATTGACGATTTCTGAAGCCTTGAAGAACAAGAACCTTGAAAATGACGTTATCAAGGGGGAAATTGCTGCGGTTCAAGCGCAGGTTTTAAATTACCAACGCATCACTACAGCCAATGAACTGGTGAGCACTTTGCCAACGGCGGTCTGACTCCTCAACATCTCAAGAAAATTATTTGTTGCTCCGTAGGGTTCTTTGTCGTTTTGCACGCGTCTGTTCAAGCGCTAATTCTCTAATATTTACCTTGTTACAGAGATTTGGAACTGATGCCCAGGCGATCACACTGTTAAATGAGACGATAGAACATTTAAGAGTTCAGCTTCAGAGGAAAGAGGATCTTCTACTAGGGCTTGAATTTGACATAAGTCTTCTTCAGGAGCACGCTGCGGAAGACACCGACCTCAAACAAGGGCTTCTTGAAGCGAATATTCAAGTCGGTGAGCTTCAAGGGAAGGTGCAGATCCAATGGGAGGAGCTGAAGGAACTGGCCTTGGCAAAGAGTAACATCGGGGAGCAGTTTGCTCGCCTTTCTGCGGACATGGAGCTTAAGAAGGACCAATTGTCAAGATCTGAAATGCTTGCTGCACTTAAGACTGAAGAAAGTCGAGCACTAACCTGCGAAGTTTCTCAGCTGCAAACTAGTTTGAGTTCTTTGGTAGCCGAAGTGGCCGAGAAAAATGAGGCACTGGGCTCCCTTGATAAGGAGTTGGCACTCACGAGGCTTGCATTAACGCACATGTCAGCGGAATGCGATCACAAGAATGAGTCACTGATGTCAGTCCAAAGTGAATTGCTAAGTGTATCAGCTGAAAAGGATGACTTAAGAGCACAGTGCTCGATTTTAGTGGAACAGGTAGGGTCCTTACAAGGTAAAACAGCGCATCAAGTTGCTGAAATGGAAGATATGCAAGGAAAGCTTTCATTATTCACTACGACAGAGACTTGCTTGCAAGAACTGAAGTTGGAGATACAGACAATGTCTTCGCACTCTAAGTCACAAGAAGCTGCGTATAAAGTTGAGCTGGCTCAAAGTAACGAAAGGATTCAGCAACTGAACTTATGGCTTTCGAATGCAAGCGAAAGAGCATTTGAACTTACACAGGAGCATGGCAAATTGGAAGCTTATATCGCTGAGTTGCAGACAGTCAAAGATAGCTTAGATGCTCAGCTGGCTCAAAGAAATGAAGCGGAGAAGTCATCGCTATCTCAGGTTTCAACGCCTTCAGAGAGTACCAACTTGTTTCTTGCTGAAAAAGAGGCCATGAAATGCGAGATCGATGACCTTCAGAGAGTGAACTGTAGCTTGAAGACGGGTTTGGCATTGAGGGTTGATGCCATGGTTCCTCTAGAAAGTGAAATTATGGTGACAAGGAACCGTCTTGCACAGTTAGAAGAGAAAGTAGCTGATCAGGAGTCTACCATCTCCGCCTTACAGGAGAAGCGCCATGATATGGAGATAGAAATTGCTCTCAAATCTGATGCTGTGAATTTAGTGGCAGCTGAGCTATCAGCAGCGCAAACTGTGATCAGGTCCTTAGTCCGAGACCTGGAGGACACGAAACAGCAGGTTGCTGCTTTTGGTACAGAACAAGTCACTCTGGAGGCCAAAATTGTGCAGGAAGATAAAGCAATACGCTCAATGAACGTCGAATTGACTGCGGCGAATGAGGCAAATTCTTGTCTAGAGTCGCTTAGATTGAAGCTTGCGGAGGTTGAAGTTCAGAAAGGTGCAATTGAGAAAGAACTCCGTACTGCCAACAGGCGACTAATCGAATTGCAGGATAAGTTCCAGGAAACGGAGAGTTTAGCTGCTTTGAAAACTGATACTGCCAGCCCAGTGACAGCTGAGTTGTCAGCAGCACTAGCTGTGAACAGCTCACTTGCTCAAAATTTGAAGGACGCTAACCAGAGGATTGTGACTCTTTTCACTGAAAACGAATGTCTGGCTACTAAAATCCTGCAGAAAGACGACGAAATTACATCCGTTAAAACTGAGTTGTCGGCAGCGAGTAACGCCGTCATGTGTCTGGAGTCTCTTAGATTAAAACTTGCGGATTTGGAACTACAGAAGGATTCAGTTACACAGCAGCTTGCAGAAACTGAAGAATCAAATAATAGTCTGACTTTAGAGCTTGCCGAAAAAATCAAAGCACTAAGCTCATTACAGGATGAGTTTAAGATAGCGCTAGAATCCTCCACTGCCAGCCGCAAAGTAATCAAGACAATGGAATCCGAGATCAATGCGTTGCTGTTGGAGAGAGATTCTTGGCAGACAGAACTTAACCTTCAATTATCGACAGTAATCTCTTTGCAGAGCGAGTTGGTTGAGGCAAGATCATCTGCACAGTCGTCGAAGGATAGTATTGCTGCCTTAGAGTCGAAAGTTGAAGCATTACAGACCGAAAGGGACAGCATGAAAATCCAGATGACAGGGTTTAACTGTGAGTTCACAGAGGCTCTGAATAGCCTTCAGCTCGTGGAGAATGATCTATCTGAATCTAGAAGAGTTTTGGATTGGGTCTCAGCCGAAAATGCTGCTCTGCAGGCTCAGGTTGTGGGGCTGCAGTCCGAGAAAGGAACCTTTGAAGAAGAGCTCTCGTTCAAAATAGCATTGATTATGTCGCTCGAGGCAGAATTAGTAGCAACAAGCTCATCTTGTATGGATTTAAGGAAAGCGCTGAACTCATCCGAATCGCAAGTTGCTGACCTCCAGACCATGAAGGCTGCTTTGGAACTAAAGCTTGCTGAGAACAGGGCTTCTATCAGTTTACGTGAAAGTGAGTTATTGTCAACGAACACTGTGACGATCTCCAAGGTCCAGGAGAGCGATGAGCTTATAACCCAGGTAAAAGCTTGGCAACAAAAGTGCCGCGATCTGGAATCTCAATTGGACAGCTTTAAGGCACAGGTTAAGCAGCAAGATCTGCAATTGGCTTCATTGGAGGAACTATTAGCTCGTGAATCTGAAGCTCTTCGGTACATGACTGACTCAGCGAACCATGCCACACAAGAATGTGACTCTTTAAAATCAGAGGTAGATGGTTTGAAGGAAATACTCTGCACGAACGACACTGCATTAAAGGAACAGGAGGCAGCGTTCAAGACCCTTGAGGGGCACCTTAATTCTGTCGGGAATGAAACTGAGAAGCTCCGGGCTTTAGGGTATGAAAGAGATCAGGCCCTCGTAGAGATCCAGGCCCTGCATGGCGAGCTCAGAGCAGCCCAAGCACTTGTGGCCAGTCACAAAGCCTCTGCGCTCGAGGCACAGAAGGTAGCGGTTGAGAGTGTGTATCTCTCAGTGGTCTAATACCTGATCCTCTTGATTGCATTGTGTTTAATTAGAGACGTTTCATCAAATGTGGTAGTTGATTGTAAACGTGGTGGTTCTGGTGTTGGTGCAGTTTGCAGAAGCTAATATTCTACGTGCCAGTGGGAAGGAGGAAGAAGCCAGAACACTAAGAGTGTCTGTCTCAGCGCTCAAGAATCAGAAAGACACTTTGGAAAAACAGGTAAAGAATCTTTGGTTTGAACCCTCTGCACGTTGGTCAATGCACGCTTACCAGGTGTGTTTGTTACTTGATGGGTGAGATTTATTGAAATGCTGAGAGGCAATGGTTCGTATGCAGTTGGAGGCCACGAAGAATGAAGCTGACAGACTTCGGCTAGCTCGTGACGAATTTGAGATGGAACTCCAGGGCATGAAGAACCGGATGACAATGCTGCAAGCCGTGCACAGCACTGGTTCACGAAACTTCAAGGGATTCCAAGCTGCACAAGCTGCGAGCCTTGATTTACAAAAGTAACACATTATTTCCAGCATTTTTCTATCATGCGTCTCTCATAAAAGCTTCATTAAAATCTTCGTATCGTCCAAGAAGCTTCGAATCTGTCAAATGCTGCCTGTTCGTCGACTCACTAGTTTCATGTTGCTTTATTACTTCGTCAGGAGGCTGGAGGAAAAAGAGGCGGAAGTGTCTCAGATGTACAAACGAATGACTGCACTTCGCAGCCAGAACGAGGCTCAATCAAGTCGGTTAGAGGAAATGGAGGCAGAACTTACTCACGTGCACCAGGAGCTTGACGATCTGCAGTCTCAATGTGAAGGCAAAGATGCCCAGCTGAAAGCCTTAAATGAGCAGCTCAAGGAAGCTGAGACGCTTACTCAAGATGTGATGCGAGACCTTCACAATGTGAAACTGGATATCAGTAATTATGCTGTGAGTACTACAACCAGATCAAGTTCCTGACCGAAAGTTCTGAAGCTCATTCTTTTTACTTGCAAGTATTGAACAATTCTTTCGGCATGTATTTGCTTGTTTGCCTTTACCTTATTCGAAGGAGTTGTAAATTATTATGCAGTCGCTTGTAAGTCAACAGCAGCTGGAATTAATCTCTGAAAGAGCTCGGCATTCTGACAATGCCCGTGAAAAGGATGAAGAGCTCTCCAACTTACAAACGCAGCTGAATCAAGAGCGTCAGAAGTAAGTTTCATCTACTGAATCCTTGCCATTTAATCCTATATCCCTGTTCTATTGCTGTTACTATTATCATTATTATTATGATTATTATGGTTATTATCATCACTGTTGTTATCATGGTTATTATCATCATTATTATGGTTATTGGAAATAATTTATGGATTTCTTAAAATAGGACAAGATAATTTGGTCAAGCTAGTATGTTAGCAACCATTGCGACGCTTCATAAGATTTTATGATATCGATCTTACTGACAGAACCTCGTGTTGTTTCTATGGTAGTTGGATGGTGGAAATGAATCACAAGCAGGCTGAGATTGTCGTTGCTCGTGTACTATCCGAGAAAATGAGGCAAAAGAACAAGACACTCGCCGCCGAATACAAAAGACTTAAAGTTGATTATCAGGGGAAGAAGAAAAAGCTCAAATTCCTAGAGCAACAGCTCACGCAGCTTACTACCGAGACTCGGAGATTTTCTATGGGTACGGAGAGCGAGGCCGACTTTGATGAGGTGCAACAATTCAAGGCCCTCCTTGCTCAGGCTAATGATCATGAACGTGCACAGCGAAATTAACTAGATTCAAACAAGCCACCAACATTTTACCTGAAATGTTCTCTTCTCAAAATCCAAGGGATTGAGCTCAGGCGGATCACGTCATGTGCCTCTCTCTGCTCCGAAACTCCAATCAAGAACATTCTTTCGGTACATTATCCGATCCTTACACCGATCAATGCACACCTACTGTTTCCCTCTCCACTTTTTACATTGCAATGTTTGAACTGTGCTTACCATCCTACTAGCAATGGATTGCAGGAATTGTATAGAAAGTAGAAGATCGAGATCTTCATTTGTACAACACGGCTGTCTTACAATACAGCCGATTTATGAGTATAAAGCTCATGATACATCCTCTTGGACTGTACGATTAAATATGTAACAAATGTCTCAAGAAATTTCAGTCAGCTTCATTCCTCTTCCATTCTTGAAGTGTTACACCTCTCTGTACATAACCCTATTCTTCTAACTCTCTTCTAATTTGTGCTGTAAGATGGCGTTCTGGGAACTTCGTTCTACTTGATATCAGGCTTGGAATTAGAGGTATTCACTTAAAGTTAATTGCTGCTCTCCGTCAAGAAAGGAAAACTTTAGGTCGGGATTGTAGCTGAAGATATAACTATCTTAATTTTTGTAACTCTTATTTATTTGTAATTGTTCTCATGTGGCTGAGTATCCTTGCAAGCTTTGTCAGTAGTCAACGCATACTTAGTGTCACTGCTGCTACACCCCCCACGGTCACTGAGTTTAGGGCGTGCAAAGATGTCATTACCTCTCAATTCGTGTGCTTTGGCATCACTGACCGGATGCCGGCATGGTCTATGTGTGTTAGACCTGTCATCGCTTATTAAGTCCGCTTTGTAACCTACAAGATCTTGGATCTTTTTTCTGTGATTTTGTCGTCCATCATCAGGATCGTTTCCAGCAACGCAGTGCGGAATAATCCTACGCTCCTGCAAGAATTACGGATTCTTAGAGCCCTATCCCTTCACTCCCTCAAATGTTAATATGAAAAGATAAAAACATCTGTCGGGAGAAAACAGAAGTGGCGGTCTCATCTCGAGTTGAGGATCGTATTGAGAACTAAGTGAGACCTAAAGACTTCAGTGCTGCGGAGTACCGGTGGGGGAGAAAAGGCCGGAGAGAATCGAGGGGGGATGCCGAATAGGTTTGTGTGGCCAGCCAGCTCTCTAGCTTTCAAATCCGATACAAGAGATACAGGAAGCCCATCTCCCTGCATCTCATCTATCACACTGCCGTACAACATCCTCTGCCTTGCCCATGACGATTCCGACTTTGGTCCCGGCGGGTCCAGGTACTCTGGTCCTCCAAGCGTGAAATGGCTCGCCAATTTCTGCGGCTGAGGAGAATGATTACCGTCAACAGTTTAATGTGAGTCCAGTTGCGTCTGATAGCTTCGTACTTTCAAATGATCAATAATGTTAGTGAGACTTAGCCTACATGGCACTGACAATATCGCTATAGGTCACCGAAATTGTAATATGTTTCTGTAACTTCAATAAGATAGGGGAGTAAACGCAGGACGATTTCTCTTTATTGAACGAAAATAACGTACATTCCTCCGTATCTTATCAGGCGGAAGACGAATCTCTTCAGGCAGATAGGGGGGCATTGGGGGCGGTGGGGATGGCTGAGAAGGATTTAAGAAGGCCCCGAATATGTTGTGGCCTTGGAGCTCGCTAGTTTTGGAACATGAAGAGGGCCGCTGAAGACAATCGTAATCTCCTGACCCCAAGTCATGTCAGTTCTCATGTTGCATGGTAGAAGGTAAACAAAATTGAAGCAAGTTCCTTACACTCGGAAATTAAAATGTTCGCAACGACAACTTCAGACACAAGTTGTAAGTAGCATCATTCAAATTAACAGTCCGTGGACATGCATAGTGAGGAGTTGCAACCGCAGGACAACGACCAGTTATATCAGACCCTGCACCGCCACAGTCCTGCTTCATTGGAAACTGTCCTCGAAATACGTCGTTGCTCGACAACTCTCTCATTTTACATTCCGAGCTTGGCCTCCTGCATCAACTCAAGCACGGTCAGTACGCACTGCTTATCTACTGCTGGCCTCGGGGCAAGTTCAACTGAAGTAACGCAAGCTGCCGTTATAGAGGCGCCCCGATCGGTATTAAGATACCGTTTGATCTTCGATAGTATTTCATAAGGTCGAGAGCTCCCGAATAGTTTAAGATTGTCTCCTCCAGGCTGCAGGATAAGAAATTCCTATCAACAATAGAATCCGATTTATTGTTCCACATCTCGTAGAGCTATTTATCTTGTAATATTTTGCACAGGGGTACTCTCTATGCTCGGAACGTAGCAAAACCTAAAATTTACATGTTCTCAATCAACACAAATTTTCTCCCGCTAAAGATCTCTGAATGGCCCAGCGCAGCTTTGGTGAATTCGCTTTAACGATCCAAAGATAGCGAATATCATGCAGTACCTGGTGATGGTGATGGTGATGGTGTCTTAGACACCTGCATTCTGGACGGGGATTGGCAGGCTTCAATCACCGATTGACATGGTGGTTACATACGGTGAATTATAACTGGCAATGATTGGTTGTGCCTGTGTCGAAAATGTCTACCTTCACAAAGTTTTTGTGACCACGTTGTTCGATAACCTGGTCACTCGGACAACTTGAATCTCCATCACAAGAAGCTAGCCCTATGTCGCTCTCCATCTCCTGTGGCGTACGACAACTGTGCCCGTGACAACACTTGTCTGGAAGTCTGGTGTTGCCCCTCTTGTTCCATGTTGATGAAGCAGAACAATCCTTGTGTTCAATGTTTTTGATTTTCTGCATCGCCAGGAACAGAGTAGGAGTTTATACTTCGCCGATGTCCTATTCACTTTTCCATACCAACCAGACCGTATCAAAAGATATTCTTTCGCAACTCATCTTCCCACATTTTAAATAGCGATTGAAATGACGGCGACGTTTTACTCTGGGTTCAATTCATCACATTTCCCAAAGCTCGAGAAAGAGTAAAGCAGGAGTAGAGTAAATCAGAGAGTAGATTCCAATGATCCCTTCTCAATGCTACTGTGGTGCGGTTAGATACCTCCACACCAACCACCTTCTTAAGTTATCTCAAACCTTCGCAACGGTACTCGAAACCCAATATCTCAGTCAAAAGATTAGTCACAGCCACATTGACCGACACTAACGACGCTTAACTCAAGGAGCTTTACAACTAAGCTCTGATAACCGATTACCGTAACCCTACAATGCAAACTGATTGTACACGCTCCAGCTGCCAATTCCCACAACTTATTCGCGCGCAATGTAAACAACAAACTCTGTCGGACGGTAATTCATTACCCTATTGTATGAGTGCTGATGAATACCCACGTGTCCGTTACGTAAAGATTGTACGCAAAACAGATTATCGTTTAAGATTCTCGAAAACACTGGCACACACTTCGCCAATACATTCGCAAGAATAGAGCGATGGTCCACAAACTGGCCACAACCCAGAAATTGGGACAGTGGGATTCGGTGATGCTCCAAAATAGGATCAGAATCGCCAAATATGAAGAGACTAGAAGTGCCCAGTGCTACCCACTGCCACCTGCCCTCACAGTGTTCAAAACGACAATTAATTATTGATATCCTCGGTGGGAACTCTTGAGCACGGCTTGCATCACCACTTCACATCTCGGGAGGCGCAATCATCATCCCACGATCACAAGCGTGGAATCCGAACTCCAAATCCATTCCAGAGTGACCCAACTCCGTCTTCATCCCTTCCGGCTCCCATTTCCAATCCAACTCACGCTATCTCACAGCCACCGCGCAGCCGTGGGTTGAACTCGAAAAAGGCCTCCGAAATAGGTTTTGGTAATGAGATGCGAGTCTTTCGATATGCGAAGATAGGAGAGAACGAGAAAAGCGTGAGGAGTGAGCGCTGGTAGGAGTATGGTGGAGGAGCGGAGGATTGGAGTTGTGGCTGCGGGAAAGAGCTAGGGCAGAAAAGTTGGGTGGTGTCAGCGATGGCGGGGAGGGAGGGAGAGAGTAAGAAGAGTAGGAAGGCGAGTGCGCAGAGCTGGGACAGTTGCGAGAGTAGCGATGTGTCGGAGTCGGAGGACGAGAGGAGCGAGGAGTATTGCGAAGGGGGCTACCACCCTATCCGCATTGGCGATTGCTTCGACCATGGCCGTTACGTTGTGCACCGCAAGCTCGGATGGGGCCATTTCTCCACCGTCTGGCTCGCCTGGGATTCCGACTCGAAGCAGTATGTCGCTCTGAAGGTGCAGAAGAGCGCGCAACATTACACGGAAGCGGCCATGGACGAGATCACAATTTTGAAGCAGGTTGCGGAGGGCGACTGGAACGGTCGAGGGGGCGTCGTAAAGCTATTGGATCACTTCAAGCATGGGGGACCAAATGGAACCCACGTGTGCATGGTTTTTGAGTATTTGGGGGACAATCTGTTGACGCTCATCAAAGCTTATAATTACAGGGGTATTCCGCTACCGATGGTGAAGAAACTTGCGAAGGGGATTCTGATTGGGCTCGACTACTTGCACCGCAAGCTCTCGATCATTCACACTGATTTGAAGCCAGAAAACATCCTGCTTCTCGCTCCTTTGGATCCCACCCAGGACCCTCGGAACTCCGATTACGTGCCCGTGGATTTACCCGCTTCGCCACTGCCATCTTCCAGCTTGGGGAGCTCCCCGAACCTCTCCAAGAATCAGAAGAAAAAAGTGAAACGAAAGGCAAAAAAAGCAAGTGGTAGTAGCAATGATAGGGATAGACAAAACGTTGATACATCTCCATGTCTGCGTGTGTCCGAGGTGAGCTACGAAGAACCCAGAAATGATGGGATTGTAGAAGAAACAGACAAACTGCTAAAAGATGAGAACGGCGAAGGCGTTTGTGAGGAGCAATCCACTGTGAGTGAGGTACCCAAGAGTGAGCACAGGTCGGCTCTTCCAGTAGATTTGGAGAATCTCGATTTGCGATGCAAGCTAGTTGATCTTGGAAATGCGTGCTGGACCTACAAGCAATTCACCGCAGATATTCAGACTCGCCAGTACCGCTGTCCCGAGGTCCTTTTGGGGTCAAGATACTCAACTCCAGCAGATATGTGGTCGTTCGCGTGCATAATTTTCGAGCTCGCCACAGGTGATGTACTCTTCGATCCACAGAGTGGAGAGGACTGCGACAGAGATGAGGATCATTTGGCGCTGATGATGGAATTGCTGGGCCGCATGCCTCGCAAGGTCGCTTTATCAGGAAAATACTCCAAAGACTTCTTTAATCGACACGGAGATTTACGCCACGTTCGGAAATTACGGTACTGGCCTCTGGATAAAGTGTTGATGGAGAAGTACGAATTTGATGAGGAAGACGCAGTGCAGTTTGCTAAATTTTTAGTGCCGCTACTGGATTTTGTACCGGAGAAGCGGCCCACGGCAGCGCAGTGCCTGAAGCAACCCTGGCTTGCGTCAGTTACCCCTTCGGCTGAGGAGGAGATGAGGAAAGCTGGCGACACTGTGCAGGCAGGGCTTCGCAATCTTGCAATAACTTGTGGTGGGATCGCAGAGACCACCTCTGATGCCACTAAATTGAAGACCACCTCTGATACCACTAAATTGAAGAAGGTTGTGCGTAGCGAAGGCAGTGGGAAATGAGGGTTGCCATTTCACGTATGAACCAGTTTACTGGTTTAGGGTTTCATTCTGAAAGGTATCTTCAAGTCGTTGCGCGTGAGTGCCATATTGAAGCATAGCTCTTTAAAACAAAGCATTTTGTATTGTGATCGTTGTGGTTGATTTTTCACTGCTGCAAGGAATAGCTATGCTGCGGGGACCTTTGATTAAGCGCCTACAAGCGCGAGTTGTGCGTTGCCTATTGGCTGTGTAGTCGGAAAACGTTCCGAACGAGCAAACTGTGCTCATATATTAGATGTACGTTAGGCTAACCTCAGTTTCCCAGCAAGATTTGGTTCTAAGATCTTGTTCTGGATCCCTCTGCAGAGCTCTGCAAGGATTGTTGACAAAGTTCCGTTAACAATTTTAAAGGATGAATCTAAAATGATTTTGCTTGCCTAGAAGGCAGATGACTCACACTAACGTTGTTCGGTTCCAGTGGAAGTGTTGATAAGATACAATCTTTCTACGAAATGGAGAGGAATTTTTTTGAAAACTTGCCATCACGAACGTTGTAAAGAGAAACCTTGACAAGAAACTGAGTGCTTCTTTTTCATTGGCACTGCTAAGTGTACATGAAGTGAAAGGAGTCTACACAACCACATTCAGTGGATTCAGTGGATAAAGAATTTTTATCAAGAACCTTGCTCATTTGGACATTGATATAGTCCAGCTCTGCGCAAATCCTCGTGTGGATAGACATCTACTCACAGGACATCTCCACGATACGAACCTGGGATGTCGTGTTGAAACCCAACCAATAAACTATCTTATGGTTTCAATGTATACTCGAATCCAAGGCTAAAAGACCAATTTCATTGGAGTGGCTCAAACAGCAAGACAAGTTGCACATAACAAGAACAAATCACAACCCAAGAGAACATGGGACTGAGGCCCTGAGGCACTTCTCCTGGTGGAATCTCTGCTGCTGCACCCTAGTCAATTGTCGCCCTTCCTGCAGCAATCGTTGGGTCAATCCCAGAAGGAGTAACCTTAGCACAAGGACAAGAATAATCAGTTTAGCTTAGATATCGCATCCTGCAAGTCATGCCCTCCGCATTCAGCAAATTTTGCACCCTTAAAAAAATACCCACAAGATAAGGTCACAGAATTTCAGGATGGTTGAAGGACCTCAAGATAAGGCCAGTTCAGCATCACCCACGCACACACGCGCCGGCGCGCGCAAACAATAGACTTCACATTGTTCATCCGAACAATCAGCACTAAGCCTCTAAACCATGAACCAACAACTGTTCCTGATTTTCTGAATTTCTGATTTTCTTCACAACAAGGATGCCCATGTTATCACATTGAGGTAGACAAGCTCGCTCATCCCATGATTCGAACTGGAAGAGAAGCAAAATTTTCGACTAAGCAATGCAATAAACGTGAACAAGAGCAAATCTGTGTCGACATGCACCCAAAATCATTGTCGGCATCGCATGCAATGCATCCCGGGCTGTCGCCTGCGAGCGACGCTGCCTAGTGTGCTGTTCAATCAATCAAATAAACAACAAACTAAGGGAAAAGGAACATGCGCCACAATTGGAGTGTTAAAACCGCGCCTTCTTCAGTCTGATGGGTGTGAAGGCACTAAGGTGTGGCAATTGAGGATTCGAGAGGCGAGTGTGTCAGCAGGGACGTTGTGAGGTGGGTTTGTGTGGCCGCGGCGGACGCGCTGAGGTGGACCTCGCCGTCGATGTATAGATTTTGGACGGAAAAACCTTTGTAGGGGAATGCTTTGATCAACCACTGTGACAGAACTCTCAGATGTGATTCTACGTTTATTGTCATCTCGCAAATCATTCCGCTTGTTTCCGAATCAACCGCCGGATTCAGATTTTGATCACGTGAGGTTTTCGGGACTGGCTGGATTGTATCCTGGCCCATGTGGTGTCTTTTAGGTTTTTTTTTTGGGGGGGGGGGGGGGGGGTTGGATACAGAGTCGGTGAATGGCGAGGGTGTCTTCTTCCCTCGTTGTACTCAGCTGAGAGGGCATGAGAGGGATGGTTCGTGTTTGTACGTTGATAGTGAGGAGGTGATGGTGGGTTGAGTTTCCTCCGGGTTCCCGTTGGTGCAGTATTATCGGGCCTCCTTCAAGGTGGGTCGGGGCGGGGTTCTGCTCTATGTTGATTGTTTCGATCAATGGCAGCTGTCAAGCATGATTCTGGGTTCTTTGATGGTTTTGAGGTGCTTAAGATTTTGAAGAACTTGGAGTTTGAGGTGTCTGGAATGTGCTGGAGCGTTGTCGCAGTGATGCTAAGCTTTCCTCTTCTCCTGTGGGTTCTCCTTGTACTTCACCTGTCATTCTCCACTCTTCATCTTCGCATCAGCTTTTCATCACTGATCAAGTCTAGGTCCCGTTTCTCCGCATTTGTGTAGCCTGGGCTCATTCTTTTCTGTCGAGCTGAGCTTTTCTGCAGGTTCCTACCTTCTTTGAGCTCAATCTCATTCTCGTAATCTATTCCGAACATTCGTGTACTTAGTTCTTTTACGCTTTCTTTGTCTTTCTTGGATTTTACAATCCCGCTAGCATGTTGGGTGTGATTAAAGAAATTACCTGAGCATTGTTCAGTTGTGGAAGGAGTTTCGGAGAAACGCCGTTCGCGAATTGCCTCTGTTTCCAATCCCAGGTTGCTCTTAGGGTAATTATAAGTGTTTGAGAGAATGCTAACAGTATATCTTCACTTCTGTTGCGGTTATACTTACTTCCCTTGTCATTCGGATTTTTCTCCTCAAAATTCAATGACAATTGAACCTCATTTCTTGGAATCACGGAACAAAACTATTGTCCATGATTAGTCTTCTCGAGTTCAGGCCACCTCGTTTTTTTATTTTTTATTTTTTATTTTTATTTTGAATGTGTCGTCGCACTCGGTAGAACTGCAAACATATTGCCGTTCCTGTATGACTATTTTCGCGTGCTTTTGAATTCAAATGATCAAGGACTATCCTATGACAGTTTTTACACGCTAACAGCTTCAAATTGCGCGATCTTGTCCATAATTTTTAAATCCAACTGCAACTGTTCAAACTGAAAATTCAGTGCCTACTGCAACTGGATATATTTGCTCGATCTCTTGCATCGATGACTTATTGTGTCTCTATGTGACTGCCGGGATCAGGCTGAAATATACAATCTATGCACTACCGGGAGTTTGAAATGGACAACGCAGTAGGTGGCGACTTGCCACATACCCCTCCAAAGGAGACTAGAGCTGGTGTAGCGGAAAGATGGATTACCTCTCAAGCCAGCACAACGGCAACCTTCTCTCAGAGCAGCTCCGCAAAATCTTCCTCCGTGGAGAACTCGCCCAAGACGTCGTCTTCGTCGTGTGCAAACAAGATACCTCCACCTGTGTCCTTAGATCCACCAGGACAAACACAGCCTTCCATTTCCGCTGGATCTCTTTATAATTTCTCCTCTTCTGCTGGAGAGTCCTCATCTATGGGGCCCTTGTCCAATTTTGCAGGTCCATATCTGCATTCTTTTTCTTCAAACATCCACAGCGGGTCCATATCCTCAAGTCAGCTCCCTAACCCCTTGCTCTTTTGTTTATACATGCAATTCAATTGATTTGTGAACATTATTTTTAGCGCGAATCGATTTGTAGTCTTTCCACAAAGCTCCAGGCTATTTAGCTCGAAGTCCGTGACTTGAATATAGCCTGGAGGCTCTGAGACCATTGAATATAAAAATGTTTACAAGAAATGAAGAGCTCCGTCATACTAAGCTTCGCTTTTCATAGCACTTGTGTCCGGCGACCATGTTTTAGTTTCGCATGGAGCCTTGTGTTTCCAGCCGAGTGTAGTTTAAGTGGTCTGTTGTAACATCACTACCTTAATTTGGTGTATGGAACTTGCAATCGGATGTTCGATAATTTCACTAGTTCTTTTAACAGGTGACTTCCCTTGCAGGTTTTGACTTTGGATTTGGTATGCTCAATTCGTCTCCTAACACACTCTCGACATCAAGGATGTTATCGCCACAGCACAGCTTACAATCACCAAGTCATATTGGTCAAAACTTGACCCTGAAGCCCACCAAATCAAAAATTCCTGGGAACACGAATCTGCCAAATGGCTTGACCAAGCACCACCAACATTATCGTGGAGAACCGAAGGATGGATTTAAGGACTCCCTTCATGATATTTTTGCAGAAAACATTTATCCTTCTTGTGGCAACGAAAAGCTGTACGAGGCATATAACGAATTGCACAGTTTGGCACAAGATTTTCACAAACCGTTCGATGCTCCAGCGATTGTTGTTGTTGGACATCAGACTGATGGTATGATACCGTCACCGAGATTCGTGGTATTTGTCAATCGTTGCTTAACAACAGTGAAACCTATCTCTTTGCACTCGATCTCATTTTCAGATGCTTGATTTTGCAGGGAAGAGCGCCTTAGTGGAAGCCCTCATGGGGTTCCAATTTAACCATGTTGGTGGAGGAACAAAGACTCGCCGGCCCGTTACCTTACACATGAAGTACAACCAATCCTGTACTGAGCCTCGCTGTTACTTGATCACTGAGGACCGTCCACCGCGGGAGGAGGAGAATAGCCTAGAGGAACTGCAGGTAGGGTTCAAAATGGCAGCCGTGTTCGTTGCAGCATGCTTGACCTCAACTCATACTTCTGCTAGAATTTCAATGAACATCTGTCTAATTTTCATGTAAGAACTTCAAAAGTCAAATTGATTTAGTTTTGAGGTGCCTCAGGCTTACATAGAAGCGGAGAATTTGCGGCTCGAGCGTGAAGTCTGTCAGTTTTGGGAGAAAGAAATTATCCTCAAGATTGAGTACAAGTTCTGCCCAAATTTGACGATTATTGACACTCCTGGCCTAATCTCAGCAGCCCCCGGTCGAAAGCATCAGTCCCTTCAGGTAATTAGAAACTTTCCCTGTAGTTCTTTTTCTTCTTTTATTTTTATGTTTATTCTTTTATGCCCAAAATGGATTTCGAATTTTCATAGCAGAGCTGATCATTATTTGAGGTTGATTGGTGTGCTGTAACAGTCACAAGCCCAGGCTGTGGAGTCACTGGTGCGCACAAAGCTGCAGCACAAGGAGTTTATAATATTGTGCCTTGAAGATTCAAGTGATTGGAGCAATGCCACGACGCGGAGCATTGTTATGCAGGTATGCTACCGTGGTATCGATCATTCTAATGTTGAAAGGCAGTTTATAGAATCACATCCAGAATGCAAGGATGACTGTACCTGTATGTAACCTTTTATTCATGTCCATATTCTCAAAGGTGGTCACCATCGTATTTAAACTTAGTTACTTTTGTGGTTCTAATTGGACGAGGTCTACACCATTTTGACGAATGAAGCTTTTCCAAGATGACTTTGTGATTTACACCACATAGAAATTCAATATCTTGATTTAAGATAGGATTTGGACCTATGCATAAAGCTATGATTCAATTTAGTGTGTTGGCGTCCAATTAATGAATACTACGTGGTGTCATGATCTGCAGGTTGATCCAGAACTCTCTCGAACTGTCATTGTTTCAACAAAGCTAGATACTCGCATTCCACAATTCGCATGTCGCGCAGATGTGGAGCTTTTCTTGCGACCTTCCACGCGATTACTCGATGGCAACATCTTAAGTGGATCTCCTTTTTTTACTTCTGTTCCCTCAGGACGAGTTGGTGCTAGTCGTGATTGTGTGTACCGCTCAAATGAACATTTCCGCGAGGTAATTACTCATGTCGATAACTTGACACTGGTTGTTTGTTCTTGGATTGAATTCTCATTGCTTTTTCTTCTCGACCATGTATTTATAATTCGTGACACTTCAATTTTCTCCAGGCAGTAGCTTCACAAGAGGCAAAAGATACTGCTGTATTAGAGGAAAAGTTGGGCCGTCAATTGACGAAGGAAGAGCAGGCTCATGTTGGAGTTAGCCGTTTGAGACTGTTCCTTGAGCAATTACTTCAGCGACAGTGAGTGTATGCCTATTGGAATAGGCCGAACTGAACCACATGTGATAATGTTCTTACGTTCAGAATTGGTTTTGTTCTTTGTGTAAAAACATTTGCAACAGTCTACCTCAACGCACAAAATGTCTTGTTTTGATTTAGTTACATATTGGGCTCTCTAGAGCTTACATTCCTTCTGCAGTCTTGTTGTAGTGCACTCATTCTTTCTGACTAGCTCTAGAGAGCTAATTACTTCCTCAATATAACAGAGTCTGATGTCAAAATAGCCGAATGGATATCATTTCCGTATCTATAACTTTGCATTAGCTTATTGATAAGTAACGATTGTACTATGTGATTGAAGGTATCTGGACAGCGTGCCCACTATTGTTCCACTCCTGGATAGAGAATATCGAATTGCGTTACTTAAACTGCAACAGACAGTACAGGAGCTCAGGTATTGTTTAGAATTCAGGCATTGCCTCTAATGTTTTAGTTATCTCCAAGCTCCATTGCGTAAGGCAAGGTAACTGGAGGGCCTACAGGATGAATTCTCGTTTGGTATGCTTTGGAGTTCATGTATATCAGTCACTATCTATTTACAGGTAAAGCATGTTGTACACATTTTGCTATCAAAGCTGTTCTCAAGTGTATGGTATTGGCATTCTACATCCACCAACCTGTGACGACACAAGCAAGTGTTGGTAGGTGGTCTTGGAAGAGTTGAGAGGAATTTGCAATTAAGAGTAGAGGAAGACTCTCTGTCAACACTTTCTTTTAGTTCACTCTTCTATTGTCTATGCTTAGATCATCTTTTCATTATTTTCTTGCAGCAATCTGGACCATGTGAAACTTAAAGAGAGGGGTCGTATGTTTCGAGATTCTTTCCTCTCCAAGGTTTCTTCTCATACCTGAACTTTGGCTCTTGTTCGAATATAGGTTCTAAGCGATAAAGAGTGCTACAACATCAAAACCTGTCTTAGTCCAAGAGCTTCCTGGTGGCTGATCTGGAGCTTGAATTGCATCTTCAATTGTTTTGCTCTTGTTTTGTTGTCTTTGTTGAGGCGAAATGTTAATTTCGCCCTATATCGTGTTGGTAAAGATTTGTACGATTAATATGTTACAATTGTCTGAACATCATTTCTGTTGAGGAGGGTGCCAAACGTAGATGCTGACATTCCACGAGATGGTGGAACTACAGCACTAGCTTGATCACCTAGCATTACTGTACTGTATGTTCTGATGACAAATTTCTGTGTTTTTCTAGCTGTCTCTACTCCTCCGAGGGACTGTTGTTGCTCCAGTTGATAAATTTGGTAAGTGTGTTCCACTCTGTAAATGTGAAGCATATCTTACGCTCAATTTTCATTGACAATCGTCACTTGCATATTGCTGAGATACATTCGGATGTTGCTAGCATTACAAGACTATCCCTGCTTGATTCTGAAGACATCATACTCATGTCCTGAATTATGTGATCTGATTGCCGACACATATGGAATTTGCAGGTGAGTCACTGCAAGATGAGCGTGTCCGTGCTGGAGCGTTTGTGGCTATGGATGGTGTACAAATGCCGTATAAGCATATGCCGGTAGTGTGTTCCTCATCCTTGTCTTGACAACACTGAATGCTTAATATGAAGCGTGTACCAAACTGCAATATATTATAGTTGACTTTTAAATGATTTCCCAGGATCATAGAAGAGACATGTAAGGATTTTTGAATTGTTAAGTGTGCCACTGAGTTGCTAGTTTTCTACATGGATCAGAATGCAAATATGCGGCTATATGGAGGAGCACAATATCACAGAGCTATGGCGGAATTCCGGTTTGTTGTTGGGAATGTTAAGTGTCCTGTAATAAGTCGTGAAGAGATTGTAAATGCTTGCGGGGTTGAAGACATCCATGATGGCACAAACTACTTCAGGTATGCCGCACTTCAAGGGTTATGACAGTGTTTTCATATTGGTTTATTGTTTATTCGTTTTGTTCTCAAGACTTCTTACAGTTCTGAATTTGTCTTAAACCCTTGTTCCTGGTAGTTCAAAATGCTGCGTGTAAGGGTTTCTAGGATACTTCACAAAGTCGCACGGGATGTTTAGGATGTAGTTTATCAGTATTTTGACGAGTATCAAGTTCTGGGAAGAGGTCAACCGTGTATCTTTACTTAAGATGGGTGTAAGTAGATAGTCTGTGACTTACTTGCTTAAAGTTCTGAGAGGAAGATGTGGATTGAATCAGGACAGCATGTGTAATAGCAGTAGCCAAAGCTAGAGATGTTTTCGAACCATTTCTGCACCAAGTGAGTATTTCGACCCTAAAAACCTTTCACCTAGTTGACACTAGTATGACTCTTGCACTTTATTTGTTCTTTATTGGTCGTATAATCTCAATGTCCTCTGTTTCAAAGTTTTTCGTTAGGTAGAGTAATCGTAGAATGAGACTTCGCATTATTTTTTTGGTGACTTCTCAACTAAAGTGAATCCAAAGTAATATCTTATCTGAAGTGATCATGTCATAGAAATGAATGTTGAAAATCATTTAGATTAAGCTGAGCAGAAGATGGACTGATTATTTGAATCTGTATTGGACATAGTTGGGAACCAGGCTCTCGCATATAATTCGAAGACTTCTGCCAATCTCATTCTTCCTCCTTCAGGTCAGTCTCGTTTCCATTTTGAGAAATTTCATAATATTCATGAGGCGCAGGTTTTGGTCACGTAGATCTGGTGAATACCATAGCATCCCCTCACTAACACACCATTTTCGATTTTGAGATTAGTCAGTAATCCTTTGTCGAAATAGTTAAGTCAGGTTTAGATCTCGTAGATTACTGAAGTAATTTTGCCTTTGTTCTCTAATTTTTTCTCCTTTTATGAAGAAATCTCATCCCGAAGTTTTACTATCCCCAGCCTAAAAGTTGGTCGTATGTATCATTGGAATGTATTAAGATTGAGGAAGCGTGCTGTATCTTAACCCTCGATTGATTTTATTGCAGAAAGATCGAGAGTTTCTGAGTGGTCACGATATGTTTTTGAAGCATGTCGTAAATGCATTCCATATGTTTGTGGATTCTACTGAACGAAGTTGTCGAGAAAAGTAAGTTACTAGTGTGAAACTGCAACCAATTTTCTTTTTGTTTTTTTTTCTTTTTCCCTTTGCATTTTACTTTTCGTAATCTCTTCATTACTTTCTTTTGTGGCAGGTGCATGGAGGATCTAATGAGCACCACGCGGTATGTCACTTGGTCACTGCATAGTAAGGTAAAAAAAAATTATGTGTCTGCACATGCAGGGCGTTTCTCTTCACAACCAAGTTATAGACGTGGGCAGAGCCATATTCCGTTTCCATCTTTGTTTCTTGTAGCACACAAATTTTTGTCTCTGTTACCTTCCCCTGGATTTATCCAATAATTATTAATGTTATTTTATGAATTGTATTGCTACACAATCGCAAAATCATTTAACTTTTGCTCTCGCTCTTTCCTGTATCCTACATCTACTCCAGGGATTTACTAGGTTGTGATAGTATAGTATGGTTTATTTTCCTAGTACACAGATTTTCTGCTGTTCAATATGGTCCATATCATTGTGTGCAGAATCAGTCTGGACTTCGACAGTATCTGAGCACCCTCAGCTCAACAAATGATGTGTTACCAATCCCAACAATTATTACAGCAGCTGTGCCGACAGTTACGAACGAGGGACCAGCACCAGCAACCGGAAACAGCAACAAACAAGACAATAAAACCCGGCTGGAAAAGGCGGAGTCCTTGAGTAGCGGCCAATCGCCGCAAGCCCGACTTGTTGACCTGCTCGAGAGCACACTGTGGAACCGTCGCCTTGCGCCCACATCTGAAGAGATTGTGAATGCGCTGGTGTCACAAATTTTTGAAGGGATCCGCGATCATTGTGTTGCTTCTGCTGAAATGAAAGTATGTTCGAAACCTTTGCTCAATTGTATAAATTTCTTGTGGTAGTCGAGTACACAGAATTGATTCATTTCTAGCATAAGATAATTTCTAAACTGCGCCAGAAATTTTCGGTCAACATGAGACTGGCTCAATACTGTATATGAAACATATTTTATTTTTTGAAATCCTTGGAGAGCTATCACTTTGAAGCAGTGCTGAAATAATGAATGTTGGATGGCTTTCTTGTGCTCTACAGTTCAACTGTTTTTTCTTAATGCCCGTGGTAGACACCTTCCCATCATTGTTACGGGAAGACCTTGAAACTGCTTTTGAGCAAGATATCGACCATGTTTTCGATGTAACACAAGCACGACGCACTCTCTTTAAACAGAAGCAGGACTTGGAACTTGAGATTCGTCGGGTGTGTTAATTTCTTATGCTCAAGTCTTCACTGTGATATGTATCTACTTGCAGCTTCTTGTTAATAGTTGAATTTTTTTACGTAGTTGCTGTGCTTGACTTAATTTTGTAGGTGTTATCCCTGTTCTGATGGAATTTTATTATCCATTTCTTGATCCAACTACGCTACCCAAGCGTCTCTTCTCAAAGCATCATGGCTACTTTTATTTGACAGGTGGAGAGGATTCAAGAAAAATTTGCTGGAGTTCACCAATACCTGAATTCTTCCCAAGTGGCGCCAGTGAAAGACATTTCTGAAGAATTCTCCAGTGTACAACTTCAAGATTAGCAGATTATCATCTTCTGTATTTATGTTTGTTAGGTCTAAGCCAACGAACGTCCTGGTCACAGCTCGGCCTCTTTCTCCAGATTCCCTCAAATTGTACTTAATAGAGAGTATGTGTGTTAGAGATTCAAATTGCTTGTTCTTGCTGGCTCTTGGAACCGTAGCAATCAATTTTTACAGGATTAATATCTCCATCCTCTTTTGTTGAGGTTTGCTGATCAGATCCTCATCAGTAGATGGAAGCTGGAGCTAGCTGTATTTAGAGATGTTCCAAACTGCTATGAAGTGATTGCAGGACTTGTCAGAGCTTTTACATGCTCAACAGCAGATTACACTTGTAAACTATGGAAATGCTTAAAGCATTCTTCATTATTTTTTGGAATCTCACTCCCTGTGTGATGTACTTTAATCAGTTGATTGTTTGCAAAGAGTTGTGACAAGGACATGAAACTGGATTGTACCAACTGTGCCGTTTTCTCTTGTGATATCCCAAATATTAGTCTCAAGTGGACGAAGAAACTAAAATGTACAATGCATCATTCGTATCAACGCATTGCTGGTAGTGGAGATATGAAAAGGAAGTTTCTGAAACGAATCATGGGTATAAGGCTCTTAACAAGTACGAGAATATGCAACTCCTTCATTGCACTGAGTACCGAGTTTAATCTTACAAGCATGATACGCATGCGAGCAGTCCTCATTTACATTATATTCCTAGTCTATCAAGTGCCGCTTTCAACAATTGGCCCAATGAGCCATGGCTAGCTTATCAATCACCGCGCATCACTTTACAAGGTTCTCCTGATTGTAGCAGTTTTGCCCTCTACCGCCAAGAACAGCCGCGAAGACATTGACCCGTCCACCACAGGACAAGTTCCTGATCCAAAACCTGGGGCTGGGGGTCAAATAAAAGCCACCATAGCAGCTCCGCTTCCCATTCGACACGCAAGTAGTTGATCAGTGCAATTTTTCTCCGAACCCCAACACTCAGCTTCTCCTAATTCAGTTATCCATGATGCGCCCATCCACGAAGGCGGGCAAAATAATTATATACAACCAAAAATGACATGAGCCCATCACGACAATTGTTGAAGAGCGACCACTTCAAAGTCCTTCAGCGGGACGTACACCAGAGGCGCGCACTTAGTAGTCCGCGCTTGCGATCCTAGCACGATCGCCCCAGTCCCCAGCACCCGGTTCTTACTACACTGCAAGCTCTTGCAACCTTGTGCAAATAGAGGCGTCACAAGAGTCCACATCTCGACGACGACGACGACGACTCAAAAACAAACACTCACACACTCCCCTGGGGAATCAGCAGATCCAATGTCACAAATCCGACCTCCCAGGGGGCAGCGAATTCAGTGAAATGGTGAGAAGGGTAATTGCGAGAATGAGGTGAAGGAATGGGATCCGTGGTGAGCTTGAAGAATTGGAGCAATTAGTGAGGTGGGTCAGCGCAGAGTGCGGGAGGGGTTTATATATGTGTGCCGTGGTGGCGGAGGAGGAAGTGTGGATATGGCTGAGTCAGGAAAGCAGGGCGGGGATGACGAGGCAGGGCACAAACACTGTCACTCTCACCCCACTTGCCTGTGGAGTGACAATACATCATCATCCATCACTGTACCTGGAGGGCCTTCACTGTTGTCACCTTCGCTTATTACTCATGGCATCCGTGGTGGTGGTGTTCTGCTCACTGCTGACTCTTCCTCTTGGATTAGGGTTTCAGGGTCGGAGTGGGTGTGGGGATGATGATGATTTTTGCAAATTTGGGTGTTGGTTTTAGGTTTTCTTTGACATTGAATCTGTGGATTGAGAATGTGTTTCTAATGGGCAATTGTAGTGGACATTCATCTAATGTAGAGGTTTTACATGTATTTGGATTTATTTGTCTTGTTAGCCTTTAAGACCACAGAAATTGGGCTTAGGATGAGGATATATTTTTTTTCAAATAGAGAATTATATTTGGTGTAATAAAAATGAAGGAAGAGAAGTGGAATCACTAATTGTAGTTAGAGACAAAATTGAGACCTTTGTTACAATTCACTTATTTTTCACATGCACCATAATTTGTGGCTTATGAGAATTTTAAATTATATGTATTGGAAAAGATTTGTCTTTGTTTACTATTCCATGAGCATGAACATACTCAAGAAGGAGAATTTTTTACTTAAATGCTATTCTTTAGATAGTCATCTTTAATATAAAAGTTAGTAATAAATACAAGATTTTTCTTGTTTTTATACCAATATACTTTTAGAAAACATAGAAGATATTTGATAACCTCAAAACATGAGGTTGTCTTAATAATGACTTTTGTAGGGTTGAGATCTTTATCAACTATTTTTTTTTTTAATCTATATCATGTTTGAATGTTTATGAAAAAGATTGATTTTTTTTTATATTTTTTTAGATTAATTATAATGCATCAACTTAAATATACATCTTAGAAAAAAAAATAATACAAAAAAAATTATATAAGATATATATTTTTAAAATTACATTTGTATACAAAACAAAAGAACATGATAATTTGTTTCAAAAGAAGTAATTATACATTATGAATAGTTCAAATTTTATATCATTAATACTTCGTTTAAGTCTATTTTTTAATTTAATAAATCTAATTACTAAAAAATAAAGAAAAAAAAATCAAATTTATGATAATTTAAAATTTATAAATAAAAGTAGAAATAAAATAATTATATTTTTATAAGTAATTATAATTAATTGAAATAATTTTAAAATACAAAAATTATTTTTTAATAACTTTTTATAGTTATAATTTTTTAATATATTTCTATTAAATTAAATTAGTAAAATTAAAAAATAAAAAATAACCATTTTAAATTTTAATATTTTTTATAATAAATTATATTATTTCTAGATATTTATTAAATGCACTTCATATAATTTATATGCCTAATTTTAATACTACTTCCACTTCATTTAAGAAGTTGTTAGAGGTATTAAAGTTGCCCATTGTATCACGTCAATTCAAGTTTGTTTAATTTAATAATGAACTATGTATAATTATATTATCTTCTCTATTGACTACATTATTTATCATATTATATTGAACTTATTGATGATGTCACTTTTGGATATTTAATTCATAGTGTTGAATATGTAGTTCTTATCCACCCTACGCCACATATTGCTAGTGCATAGTAAATATTATAATTTATTTTTGAGAAGTCTTATTATAGACAACTCAACAACCATTTTAATTCAAGTGTTTGTTATTTTTTGAGGTTTGAAATTCTTATCATTCATCCAATAGTCTTAGTTGTAAGTAAGTATTTATGTAACTTTTAAAAGTTTGACATTGAATATTAATTCTATATTCTTCCTTCATTTAATTAAGTAATTTTACTTGAGCCAAGCATATGTTGATACTTATTGTAGTGAGTTTTTTGCAGTGCTTGTTCTAGTTTCTTATTTGAGGTCATCAAAGTAGCGTTTTGGTAATGGTATGTTCTCTCCAACAATAATAATGCCACTTCTTCTTTATATTGCAAATTGATTTTAAAGTTGTGAAGTATTACTAGAATATGTTTGTATATTATATTTGATCAAAGATATTTTGCTACCATCAAATATTCTAATATCAATTATTAATTATTAATAACTTGTGGAAAAAGTAGATACTACAAAAACTACTTTAATTTGATGAAAACCATATAGTTACAAAACACAACTTGACATTTGATTGATTATCCTTTTTGATTCATCTATAGCAAAAAAATCAACAGTCTGAGGCATCTCAAAGTTAAAAATAGAGATTACAACTACAATGCTTTGTAGGTGATATTTGGACATTTGATGTATTGTTAATTTGATGTAGAGAAGCTAAAACAAGTCCAAAAAATGTCAGCATTGAAAATTTGATTAACTCAAATCTTGACAATACTCTAAGAATATAATCCAAGCATTATAACAACCACTTAAATTATATATAATATAAAAAAGTCTAACAATAGATATTGAATACACAAACATCAATTCAAGTCCTTGTTTATAAAATTACAAAATGACAAATATGCACATCACATAGATTATGATGAAATTAGCTAAATCACTCATTTTTTTTTTTTTTTTTTTTTTTTTTTTTACTAAAAAACTAGTAATTGAGGCAACCAAAAAAATAAAATAATAATATTGATAGGCTACATATACAAGACCAATAAGTTCAAATGTCATTGATCTATATAGTTAGCATAACACCATTTTTTCTTCATACTTTGTATTTGTACAATCAAAAATAGAAGAAGATTATAATTAGATTTTATGTCAAAATATGACCTTATGTATAAGGATTTTATATTTAAAATGATTGTAATAGATTGCAAGTTGATCTTGCTATTATATTTTAAAATACTCAATTGCTCCTATATATGTGATGTAATAGAATATAGATAAGATATTTGTATTATTAACACATAGTAATAGATAGTTAAAACCATTGAAGTTTGTAGAATTGAGGGTTAGATTAGTGGACCAAATAGGATCTACTATAGAACATTCTAAAAAGAGTTTAGGATTGTTATCTAAATATGGTCCACCATGGAATCTTCTAAAAAGAATTTAAGGTGGTTATCTAAGTGGGGTTCATCATCTTAGAACATTCTAGAAAGTCCAAGGTGGTAGAATAAAATATAAATAAGACTAACAAGGGCCTTTTAGAACATTTGGTCAAATATGGCTTCGGATCTTTTTTTTTAATACAATTGGATTTTATACCTTTCTGTTTTATTATGTTCTATTCTAACTCCGATTACTCAATTTTGTTAAGCTTTGTTAAGTTTTGTTTTGGTCCAGTTGTCCTGTCTTGTGATGAAGTTTTATATTATTGTAGATTAGAAGGATCTTAGATACTTGAGATAGACTGGTCTTGTTTTATTGGTATCTTAGCAAATATTAGATTGTTCTTTGGTAGTGTATCAATAGTCATCATGTAGTCTAAGATTAGTTTTTGTAGTCACACTAAATATTATGTTGAGACTACCATGAGCTATTCTTCAAAAGTCAATTGGGAAGTAAGAAGACATTATAATAGTAGAGTCTAATGGATAAATAATAGCATGGAAGATATAACAAAGCAATCCTAGATGGAGGCTCAAATATAACACCTCTTAAGCTAGATAGTTACTTTGCAAGAGCAAATAAAAGCCTGAAAGACAAGGAAGTCAATACTTGCTACTCTAAAATGGAATAAGCTTACGACATACTCTGGGACTTTAAGACAAGAAGATATATGTTAATGGCTCTTCAATATATAGAAATACCTCCAACTATTTGGGACAAATACCATTGAAGGAATTATGAATGCAACTAACTATTTGAGAGATGTAGCAACCATTTGGTAGTAACATTGAGTTCAAAGC